ATCACGCTTCAAAGCCACCAAGTCGGCTTCTAATGGGGGTGGCGGTTTCACTTACCTTGCCTGGCTGCCTGCCCAGGGCAGATGGGATACAGCTGGGAAGGTCTAGCACTTCCTCTTTCCTTTCCCCTGACCCACCTCCTGCAGCTCCCTTTCTGGTTGGACATGAGACTGGAGAATTAGAAGTGATTCCCTCTAGGCAGGAAAGATGAGAGCTGGCAGAGTTCATCCTTCCCCTCTGGCATATCATACCTCTCTGTTCATCCCATTTGGCGTCTAAGTCCACATTCCGCTATGTGCACCAGGAGGGAGCAGCTGGGTGGTAGCTGGAGACATAACTCAGCCCCTCTGAGACTGAGTCCTGCCTTCCAGTTCATAAGCAGCTGCTCTAAGTCTAGAGAAGTGAAGGAAAGCTGGAGAAGCTGGGGTAGAGGGGAGGAGTGACCTGGGATGGAATGTTAATGGGGAAAGGTGGGAATGGACTGCCCTGTGCAGAACAGTGGAACAGCAGGTGCCACAACTTCCCTATGGGGCAAGCTGATTCACCGCTTTAAGTCTTTATAAGTCTCTTTATCTATAAAGGGGGCATCTTCCTAGAGGGGCAGGTGATGGTGGGGTGATGAGCGGAACAGGGAAGGGGTTGCCCCTCCTGTTGGGATTCCTGACAATGTGGCTTCCCACCCACCCCATCCAGCCCCGTGTTGAGCTGTGCTGATATTCTCCATCCTTTTGCCTTAGAGTCACTTAGTATAGGTGCAGGAAGCCTGTGTGTGTGTGTGTGTGTGTGTGTGTGTGTGTGTGTGTGTGTGTGTGTAGTGGAGTAAGGTCTTCTCTATGTGCAGTTCTATTACAGGAGATTACTCTAGAGGACCCTCCAGGAAAAGTACTGCCTCCTTGGTGCTTCTAATGAATCCCCTTGGTCAGCTCCTAAAACCCCTCTCCCCATGTCCCATCTTACAGTGGTTAGGGAAAAGATGGCTAAGGAGAAAGTGTGCCTTGTTGAAGCTTGAATAGGACCACTTGCAGTTGAAGACTACTCAATCTGGGGGTCAGAAGCAAGGAATTAGGCTCAGGCAGGCAGTAGCTCTGAGGGGCTCTGATATCTTGCTTAGGGCAAGGGATGATGGACTGAGGCATCTCGCTCTAATAGGAATGGGAACTCTGCTGGTGGTGGTGTAGTTAGTTGTAGGAAGGCAGGTGATAATGATGATGGAGATGGTGGTAGCATTGACGGTAACATAGCAGTCATAGTAGTGATAATATGATGATGGACGTAGCCATCATGGTGACGGTAGATGAAATGGTTCTGATAGTTATTCTGATGGTGGTAGAAGAGTGTTGGGTTAAAAGAGGTGCTTGTGATGATAGTGGTAAGATTGTGCTGGGATTAGTAGAAAATGTTATAATGGTCATGGTGACTGTTGGGGGGGTCATGCAGTACTAGGGTTGGTGGGATTGTCTGTGACGATGGTGATAATGGTCATAGTTCTTTAATAGCTGTCACAAAATACCTGATAAAGCAAAGAAAGAGTTTAAGGAAGGAAGGGTTTATTTTGGCTGATGGTTTGATGGTCCAGTCCATCATGGTGGGAAGGCATGTAGGCAGGAGCATGAGGGGGCTGGTCACAGCAGTTGGGACACAGAGATAAACAAATGCAGATGCTTCATTCATTTTTTCTCCTTGCATTCAGCATGGGACTCCAACCCATGAGATGGTATCACCACGTTCAAGGTGGGTCTTCCCTCCTCAACTAAAACTTTCAGAAAACATTCTCATAGACATGCCCAGAGCTGTGCTTCCAGGGTGATTCTAAATCCAGTCAAGTTGACAATGAAAGTTAATCATCACTGTGGTCATGATGATCTGGGTAGGTGGGGATCATGGTGGTGCTAGGGTCAGCAGAGATACTGGTAAAAGTGGTAGTGATGGAGATGGTGGTGGTTATGGTGGTGGTCATAGAGGTAAACCCTGGTTTGGGGGTAAGGTGGTTGTGGTCATGGTGATATGGATGTCCCAAGAAAGGAATATTCTGATCACAGCTGTGCTGCTTATGGTATGATCAAGCTAAGGTGCCACATTATATAATAATGCTCTGTTCTAGTTTGCTTTTCATTGCTGTAATAAATGCCATGACCAAAAGCAACTCAGCTAAGAAAGGGTTTATTTCAGCTTATATTAAAGAAAGTCAGGGAAGGAACTCAAGGCAGGAACCTGGAGGCAGGATCCATGGAGGAAGGCTGTTTACTGGCTTGCTCTCTCTTCCATGCCTAGCTAGCTTTCTTATATAACACAGACCCACCTGCCTAGGGATAGTGCTGCCCACAGTGGGCTGGGCCCTCCCATATCAATCATCAATCAAAGGAGTCTCTCACAGATATGGCCACAGGCCACTCTGATCAAGGAAATTCTCCAATTGAAGTTCCTTCTTCTCAGCCGACTCTAGACTGTATCATGTTGACAATAAAAAACTAACCAGATGGCTGGAGAGATGACTAAGCAGTTAAGAGCACTGGCTGCCCTTGCACAGGACCCAGGTTTGGTTCCCAGCACCCACATGGCAGCTAATAACCAACCATCCATAACTCCAGTTCCAGGGGATCTGACGCCCACTTCTGACCTCTGCAAGCATTGCATGACATGGGAGCACTTACATACGTGCAGGCAAAACACTTATACACACAAAATAAAAATAGTAAATAACATATTTTTAAAAAGCTAACCAGACACTTTCACATAAAATAACTAATACACTCAACCATCAGCCCTACATAGCTGCTTTTATCTATTGTTGAATTTCCAGTGTCTAAGAGTATGTATGGTCTGTAGCAGGTGCTCAGTAAATATGCACAAGAGAGTGATGAGTCCTTCCTGTGAGGAACATTGCATTACTCCTTGGCCCTTGCCATATCCCTTCAAAAGTTCCATCTTACAGATGAGAAAGCAAAGGCCATGAGAGAGAGACTGTGTAGCCTTCCTAAGGAGTAGGCAATAGGGATGAAGGCAAGCATTCTTACTCAGGTCCGTCTGACTCCCAATGCAGGGCTCTTTCCTCCACACCCTTTGCAGCCACTCTCCCCACCAGCACTTAGCAATACACTTCGGGCTTGTGCTTGGGCTTAATCATAGAAATACTGCTAATAATAGTAACGATTGCTGTGTGTAATTGTTCAAGTAAGGCTTAAATGATCAAGACCATGGAAATTATTAATAACCCCGGCCCAGCCATGGTGGTGTGGGTCATATTAAATTGTGTTGAGATGGATAACCTTGGCAATAATAGTAACTGGGATCATAAATTAATAATGGGAGTATTTAAATTAATGCCATACTGTCGATAGGCTTGGTGGTAAGCAGCTCAAAGCGGCTGGAAGTACTAATGCTTCTCCTTCCTGCCTTCCATGAATTCACCGGTGAGCAAGGCAGGTCTGTAAAAGCTGTGGGGGAAGGGACATCTTGGAAGTGGTCTCTGTCCAGGAGGAGGGAGTCCTCAGGGACTTAATGCTGCTAGACTCTTATGTCCAGCCATGGTGGCTCATGAAGATGAATGGTGGAAGCCACAATGTCTATCTGTCCTTCCTGGGGACTGCCTGCTGGGTTGGACTTCATTGGTTACATAGGAGATATCCATAGAGCAGGTTCCCCGCCCCCCATGTATGGGTGAATTACATTTAGTTGACCTAGGAAATCACCTCTTTATAAGTGCTCTTGATCTGCCCCTTGTTTCTATTATTTGGGACCATGTTTTTGAAGAGAAACTGGAGTCCAGACATAGCCAACATCTGGTACTAGGATGTGCTTCTCAGACTTGTCTCCTCACAGCTCTGCTCCAGGGCCCTGATGTCTGGAAACCAGAAAAGGATGAAGTGATGCTTCCCATGAAACATAGACTGCACATTCCCTGGTGTACAGGTGATATGATCTGCCAAATTTTCTACAGCATGACAAGTGTGGTCCTCAGGACACTTACATAGTAAGTACATGGATAGGTCTGTAGGTGTGAACCCATTCAGCCACTTTCCCATTGAGTCCCTTCTACAAAGTTCTATTGACCAGTCAGAGAAAAAACTATAGTCCCTGACTGTAGGAAGCTCATAAGCCTATTGAAAACACATTCTAGTGAAGTCTATATTGTTGAAGATGCATCTGTGTCCTTGTATAGGCATGTGTGTTCATGAATACATGTAGGGGCTTTTGTGGGTGTGACTGTGCATGTATACATCCATAGGGTATGTATGTGAATGTCACACCATGTGTGCATAGATGCCTGTCTGGTCTGTATAGGGACCCTTGTAGGATGAGCAAGTTTACAAGAGTGCTTGAAGATGGCGTGGGTAGATCTGGGGTGCATGGGCACATGTGCAGGTGAGCTTGAGACTGTGTGTATTCCTGGGTTTTATGTGCACACCTGTGACTCCTTCGAGTACATTATTTTAAAGGTTCAGTTCAGTGGTAGGGTGCTTGTTTAGCATGTGTGAAGCAAAGAGAGAGAGAGAGAGAGAGAGAGAGAGAGAGAGAGAGAGAGAATGATGTTGAGATGGACTCCATCCTGAACGTCCCTACTGTACATAAGATCAGGCCGCCTGCCCTCTTCCCTCCCCTTAGCCTTTTCCCAAATGGGGAAATGGGAATCGGAGGATTTACCGGCTAGGTAAGGAACTAGGCACTGGGGCTGCAGCGGATGCCTAAGAGAGGTAACGCTGCTGGGCGGCAGGCGGAGGAAGAGTAACTGCCACCGGGAGTACGCCCTGGCCTCTGAGCGCACAGCATCCGGGACTGATGCTTAGCAGAACCCGCGGTGCACTGGGTTGGTGGGCGCGGTGGGACAGCACGGAGAAGCCTCAGCCGGGCACGCGGGCGCGGCTTCCCACACGCCTCCTTCGCTCCTCCGGAGGACTCTCTAACCCGAGGCTGCCGGGCGGGAGGGTGCGGTTCCGGGGGTGGGCGGGGAGGAGGCGGGGCTGCTGTACCGGCTTCACCCAGCTGCTCCCGCCCGCCCGCAGCCAGAGCGAGCGGAGCCTCAGCCAGCTCCAGCCGGCGGCGGGAGCTGGAGCGCAGCGCATCTCAGCGCAGCTTCATCCGTCCGCAGAGCCGACTGAGCTGGAAGCAGAGCGCTGTTGCTAGAGGCAGGCTATGGGGGCAGGTGCTGCGGGCCGCGCCATGGACCGGCCGCTCCTGCTTCTGCAGCTGCTGCTCCTAGGGGTGAGTGCTAGTCGGGTGGACGCCTGTTCGCCTTTTCCAAGAGCGGAACCCCAAGGGGACCCCGGGGCCATCACCCAGTAAACAGAATAGAGCGTTAGGGTCCCAGATGCTGGGAATGTGTGGCGGAGGAGCCGCGGTGCCGGGACTCACTGAGGAGCTTCTAGGACTCTCTGAGCGTCAGGGCGACCCTGAGTCCCAGGACAGAGATGCGCACAAGACTGTCGCACTGATGCTGGTCCTTGGGTACTGCTGTGGAGGTGGTGCAAGGGACTGGGAGGGGTCTCTCAGGAGGGGGTCCTGGAGATTACAGATGTCTGGGGTCTTTTGAGGACCGCACGCAAATGCTGGGATCCCGAGGGGGACTTTCCCTTCAGCGTCTTGGTCTCTGGGGAACTGTGGGACAAAACCGAGGCGAGAGAAGGAGGGGGAATGAGAGCGGGACTAGAAATGTGAGGGGCGCGCGATGGAACAATGGGGGAGGAGGCTGGAGGGACTGGAGGCAGAGGGGACCCGGCATGGACAATGGGGACCGGCCAGACAATAGGGGGGAGGGGCGTCGAAGGGAGCGCTTCGGGAGTGGCAGAGCGATAGAAGAGGGAGAAGTGGGTTTTAAGGAGGCCAGAAAAGAGGTAGAGAGATGGAAAGCAAGTCGTACCCTAAAGTGCTCGGGACCCCACCTGCCCTACCGCAGGACTCTAGGATGGAGGAAGATAGAACCGAAGCACAGACGTTTCCCGCGCTGGTTCTAATGCTCTTTCTCGGCCTCGCCCAGTTCGGGAATTGCGACTGGACATCCCGGGCTGGGAAGGGAGCGCCCACTTCACCGGGTCGAATCCACTCCCTGGATTCCGCCAAGCTGGCAGGCTCTTCAGTGAGCCTATTCACACGCGTAGAAGCAACGCCCTCGAACGGTAGGGAGAGAACCGCATCTTGCGACCAGACCGAAGCCAAGTCTTGGGATGCAGAGCCCCGGAACGCTTAAGGCGGTGACCGTCCGCCGGCGGGGCCCAGCTCCGGGCTGCGCAGACAGGAGACGACCGGCAGGGGGCGCTGTGCGGCGCGGGATTGCCATTTGCAGCTGTGTGCGCGCCTGGGGCTGCGCACTGCCCGGGTTCTAAGCTAAGCGACCTCCGCGCACCTCGGCTCCTGAGCAAGCAGGGTCAACATCCTGCCCCATAGGCCGAGGCCTTTGGTCAAAGTCAGTGAATTCCCTCCCTTATGAGACCCGGCTGCTCCGATGCCTCGGATTCTGTGAGGTTGCTGTCCAGAGGTACCAACTGGGCTAAGGTTGTTAGGTCCTCCTCCTAAGAGCCCCAGTATTCTGGGTATTTCTAACCAGATCTCCAGGAAGATTGGCAATGAAAGTGGCAGCCTCACTCTTCCCTCCACCATCATCTTTCAACTGAGCATCGCACCCCCAAATCTCCATTTTACTGATAAAAAGGGGTTTAAACAACTTGTTTAAGTTGGGCCAGAGTCCTGTGGTTGGATGGTCCCTCGCCTGATTCCCGCTCTCTGTCTACTCTCCCTACCCAAGAGGGCAGCCGGGCATCCCTGCTCTACTTCGTTTCACCGTGGGGGTGGGGTTGACATCATTCTGAGGGTCAGACAGGAAGTGTGATATGGAGGTGAGCAGACAGAGAATCTTTCCGAGCCCTGGCCCTGTCCTCAAAGTTCAGCCCTGGTTCCCTGGAGCTGTTGGTACCTGTGGCTTCCTCCGGGGTTTTGGGAGCGACAACCGGGGCGTTTGCTAACTCTGGTTAGAAGTGCTTTGGGGGCCAGGTTCGGAGATGGACACGAAAGGTAGGGAGGAGGGACTGTGGTAGAGGAGTGTGGCTCAGATCGTGGAGGAGGGAACCTGGGCAGGGGAGAATGTCCTGGAGCCCAGAAGAGACGAGGAAGGAGGAGAGCCGGACGGGGTGGGGGTGGGGTTGGGGAGCTGTCACGAGAAGGTGGACTCCCCCAACCCCCAGCACAGAACCTGCCGACCTCCGCCCCTGTCGTTCTGGCTTCCGCCTCCATCTCGGGGCTGTCCAGTATGGACCCGGTTCAGCACACCACTGCTGTCCGAGCTTTTTCCTGCGCCGCTGCAGAGTGCTGAAACCAGAGTGCGTCCCGGCGGGTCCGCTGGCGGGCCGCGCCGGTAATGGAGGCACTTTGTCATTCAGACGTCTGTAACCGGAGCCGCCGGGCTGGCTAATGCGCCTAATAGGGATGCAGTAGCGAGGGCTGCAAATGGGCGGCGGGAGCGTCCGCGCTGGCGTGGAGGGTGGCTGGTTAGGCGGCTTGGGGATGGAAAGGCCTCCACCCCACCCGGCCAGCACAGTCTGGCTCCAACACCAAGCTTCCTCCCTAGGGGATGAGTTGGAGAGGAGGGCATAATAAAATTTGTGAAGTGCCTACTATGTGTCCTGCACTGTCCTGGGCACTCATCCTTGCTTTAGATACCCCTTACCCAGCAAAGTAAATTTAGTTATTCCCATTGTACAGGTTAGGAAGCTGACCTCCAGGAGATTCAGCAGGAGGGATGGCTCCCCCAGTTAGTCAGCAGAGATGCCCTGCTGGGAGCTGGGAGGCATGCCTACTCTTACCTCCCCATGCTCAGCTCCTTTCCAGCTTCCCTCCAATTTGCTGGTCATGAAAGGAGGTGTGGCCCTGAACTTCCACTGTTGAGGGATGGGTTAGATCCTGCTCCTTGCTTCTGAACAGAGCCACTCCCTTTCTCCGTATCTGCAGAGCACCATCATCTCTTCAAGTCTCCATAAGGCAGCTTTTTGGTAATTAGCTCTGGTCTCCTACTTACAACTCAGTGGCTACCCAAAGGGGTGGGGAGTGGAGCCATGTGTCGGTGTGACTGGTCAGGTTTGCATCTACTTAAGACCCTCCAGATGCTGGGAAGCCTCTTTCACTCCATGTGGGCTGGCATCATGGGGCCATTTGCTATGGAATCTTCTTTGAAGCTGTTGTGAATGGTCAGGACTGAGCCTGTGGAAGCATTCATATAGTTCCAAACACTGGTGTGTTTTCTGTTTTGCCCAATTAAAAAAAATAGATGCTTTATGGTCAATTCATCTAAGAGATGAAAGACCTGCAATGACAAAAATGGATTGTAAACATTCTGAAAAATGGAGAAGTCAGTCTATCAACTTTGAAATGAATAAAGGCAATAGAATATAACTTTCAGGCAAATGGGTCTGTCATTTTGATAAATGGATCAATTTGGATCCGATCTTGGAGCAATTAGCCTGAACTCTAGTCACGCTTTCTTGCTTGGCTGACAGCTCCCTCCTGCTTTGTCTTGCCTGGGGTCAGCATCTCATCCTCCCTAGATAAGCTCTTTCCTCAATAACTAGCATTGACTGAATTCCTACTATATGACAGACAGATTTGCATAAGTTATTTCATTCAGTTCTCACAGCAACCCAGTGCAGGAATCATAATCAACCCATGTTTTAAACGGGAAAATCGAGATCTAGGAAGATTAGGATGCTCAAAATCACATACTACTTAGTAGCAGGTCTAGGATTTTTGTGACGGAGCATAACACAAACACAGACGTGAATACTGATTATGTGGCCTCAACTGTAAAGGCAAGTCCTGAGAGGAGAAAGAAGACAGAGGGTGGGGAGAGCAGGTTCTTGGCAGAAGTGCTTGCCCAAAGCTACCACACTACCCACAAAGACCATCCATCCGCCCCCCCCCCCAATATGCACTCTCCAGAGCCCAGCTCTCTGCTGAACTTGGTTAAGTGAAACATATCCCAGGACCGCAAAGGCAACAAGAAACACACTGGAAGAGAGAGAAGGGTCTCAAAGAACATTGACACCATATTCACTCATTCATTTAATACAGCAACTTGAGGCACATACTGCCAGGATTATCTAATGGTGAGGGAAGAGAGGCACAGAGAAATTCAAAATCTGTCCCTTATCACTCCAGCCGTAAGTCAGGATTCAGAATGACAGAGGCATTGGAGTGGGCAGTGACTATGCTCAAACATTGGGCTCAGACTACTGCCCCTCTCTATCAGCTCCATCTAGCCACTCTTTTTTCCTTTTCCTTTGTTTTTTTGTTGTTGTTTTGTTTGTTTGTTTGTTTGTTTGTTTGTTTTGTTTTGTTTTTGTCTTTTTTGTCTTTTTAAGACAGGGTCTCCCTGTAGCCCCAGCTGTCCTGTAACTCATTATGTAGACCAGGCTGGCCTTGAACTCACAAAGATCTGCCTGCCTCTGCCTCCCAAGTGCTAGGATCAAAGGCGTGCACCACCATGCCCAGCTTTGGTTTTCTATTTTGATGCAGTGGTTCCTTCTATGCATTCCTGGCTGGCCTTGAACTGGAGATTTTCCTCTCTCAACTTCCTTTATTCTGGGATAACAGGCATGTGTGTGCATGGCTCCCAGCCAGCTTTCTACCTAGTCCAGTGGCATCATTCCTAAAGATTCCATTAGACCTGACACATTACAATTCTGGGAGAGGGACTCTTCAGGTCACACTGTGATAGCAGCAAGAAGTGACAACCGATACCTTAACAGGAAGGGAAGGGACAGAGAAACTATCAAAAAGCTGACAAAAAGACAAAAAGGTGGTCATTTGGGATCAAGAACACAAGCGCACTGCTGCATTGCAGCCCTGAGTGATCTCTGTTGCTAACAGCAAGTGCACAGCCCTGGGGAAGCTGCGGGTTTGTTGCAGAAGAAAGCCACTAGATGACGAAAGTACACCTTTGACCCCAGGGACACACAGTTATCCAAAGGCACTCTTTCACATTTCTAGATAACTGAGGACATATGGTATTTTCATGTTCTTAAATTCCATAAACACTGGCTCCGTACTATGTGCCAGATAGTGCGTCTTCAACATGGGGACAACCTCAGTCCCCAGTCTGCCTAATCTGGGAGGGATGGGGATGACAGGAGCCCTAAGTGATGAAAGGAAATCAGAACAGATCCTTTTGGAATCTTACCTCCTGGAGGAAGCCTACATCTGGGACCTCAAGCTTCCTGGTCTGCAGATGTTACCAGTACTGCCTACAGCTGGCACCGGGAAAGAGATGGTAGCAGTTTCCTCTGCTGCCTGCACCCTCCCTGCTGAGCTCATGGGGACCATGCTACCCCTAGGCCAGAACTCTGGGTTTCTCCTGCCTCCTTGTTTCCTTTCTCCATCAAACCCTGGTGAGACCACACGGTTGCTGTTTTTTGTTTGTTTGTTTAAGAATGGAGGGAGGAGAGTGTCTTGATAAAGCTCTTTCCAACATGGAAGCAGTACAGAAAAGCCCCCCAAACAACCTTACAAAGCTCCTTGGTCCTACAACCCCAAAACTCACACTGTTCAGCATCAGATGGGAGATGCAAGGTCTGGAGCCAACAGAGAAGGCTTTGGAGTTTTATTAGACATTAAGATTGTTCTTTAAGGAACAGAAACAAAGTGAGCCTCCAGCAGCCCCTCTCTCTGGGGAATCTAGTGCTAAGTTGTTCCATCCATGAGCAAAGATGCTTTAGTGGCAGGAATCTGACTCCCCTTTCCTCTGGTTCCAGCTCTGTTCCCAGTGGCCACATGGGATGAGAGAGGAGGGGATGGGGGAAGGCTGGTGACTGGAAGTCTACTCTGATGGGACAGGGCTGCTGGGTGGTAAGAACAGCCACTGTCTTGGCTCTAGACTTTCCCATCAGCCTGTCTTTTGCCCTGGCACCAAGCTGTCACTGTCTCTATCTGTAAAGATGTGAAGACTCCAAAAGGAAAATCAGGACAGGACAGAAACCCCCAGTACAGAGTCAGTATCTAAATCCAAGACCTCAGCCCTCTGTCTTCTGCTCTTGGATATAGACGCTTTCCTCTTGATATTTAATATGTGGAATTAGTACCCGGAGAAGGACCCTGTTCCCCTTTGTTAGGAAAAGGCCCTGCCTCTGGGTAATCCCAGCCCTGCAGGTGTGAGGCTTAGCAAGTAGAGTTTGGGCCACATTTCAGCTCCACTGGTCCCTCGGCCAGGAGTCCTGTGCAAGCTGCAACCTGTCCAGACAGTCTTGGTGTCCCTGCTGGAAGACCCTCCACAGGATCTCAGGCTGCCTTGTCTATGTGCTGTATCCTCAGACCTCCAAGAGGGGCTGTAACCCCAAGGTGAACTTTGCAGAAGGTTAGCCTCTGAGGCTCTGACCTCACACCCCAGCAGCCCGAAGAGGCGCCCTGTCCCCCACTGCCTTCCTTCCTGCCAGCTTTGATCCTCCTAATGCCTCCCTGTTGAGCTCATCCCAGCCCAGGTGGTTCCAATAGAAGGCATTAGAAGGGAGGCGTTTGATCCTTTGGAAGATACTCCCTTTCTCCTGTCAAGTTGATCCTGACCTCCTTCTACCTAGGTGTCCCTCGGAGGTGCCAAGGAGACATGTCCCACAGGCCTGTACACCCACAGTGGAGAGTGCTGCAAAGCCTGCAACTTGGGGGAGGGTGTGGCCCAGCCCTGTGGAGCCAACCAGACTGTGTGCGAGCCCTGCCTGGACAGTGAGTACTGGGTGACAAATGGGGGACAGCAGAGCATGTACAGTGCAGGCATTGTAAGTGCTCTACCTCTTGACCGGTCCCCTGCCCACCCTGTATGGTCACCAGAAGTGGGTGGGACCCAATCGAAGAGGAAGAGAGATGCTGAATGAATGAGGGAATGTGCAGAGGAAGGAGAGGATCTGGTGGGGGATCCCCGGAGGGGGCCCTCTACCCAGCCCCCAAGTAGAAGAGTGTGGCCAGGCAGGGAGGAGAAACCAATGCTAAGACCAGCTAAAAATACCTTCTGGGCTGCAAGATCAATGGTTGCAACTTACCCTCTGTGGGTTTTGGGGGAGGGGAGGAGAATCAAATCTTGGCTGCTCTGGAAACTGACCTTGGGGGATCCTGGGAGGGTGTGGCTGCCCCTCCCCCAGGCTCACTGTTCTTTAGCTTGCAGAAGGAGCAGGGATAGGAGCTGAAGTACAAGGATGTCCTTAACATGGGGTGACATGGGGTGGGGACAGCAGAGGGGAGTTAGCTGGCAGTTCCTTCACAAGGAGAGAAGCCCATCTTCCAGAGCTGGTGGAGAAGTGGCACGGGGAGGGGGATGATGCATCAGAACCCCTTGACCCTGGTCTTATTCATGTATGAGTTCTGTGCTCTTTGGGCAGCAGGAGTCTCTGTCTCTGCTGCTGAACACCTCATTGCTCTGCCGTTGCCTTGGAGCCCAATGTAGAGCTGTTTCCCTGCCTGTGGCCAGTAAGATTCTGAATCTGCCTGGCATTCAATGCCCACTAAGAGGGCTACTGGCAACTGGGGTACAGAGCTGAGAACTTTGAGCCCACCTGCCAACCTGGTTTTACCTCTGTATGCCCTCTCCCTAGTCCGTCCATTCTTCAGGCAACCCTGACTCCTTAGTGTTCCCAACCACATGAATTTCCACCTCTGTGCTTGTGAGTTCTATAACCCTGTCCCCGGCAGGGGACACCTGGCCTGGGTAGAAAGGCTCTACCCCCTTGGTAGCTGACGTCTGTTCTGCCCTGGCCTCAGAGAGTCCTCATCCCAGGACAGAGGTATCATCTGTCCTGGAGCTACCAAAGTCTGTCTCTCATTGCCTAGGTGTAGATGTCCTAGATCACACCCCTCTCCCTCCTGTGTACCATTCTTCAGCAGCAGGTGGGCTGGGAGCCCAGGAGAGGGCAGGTCAGGAATCAGGGAAAAGGAAGGACAACAGGAACCAAGGGCAGCTCAGAGGTGGCTGTGGGAGTCTCTCCTTCCCTTTCCCTCCTCCTTCCCTTCCCCTCCCTGTTCCCCCTGCCACACTCCCCTCCAGCTGTGTTAACAGGCCAGTTTTACAAGCCCACTTTATGGGCTGGATACCCCAGTGGACTTTCCCTCCATCCTCAAAATGTTTCCACAAGGAAGCCTATTAAGCTCCTGCCTTCATGCCATGCCAAAAAAGACCACAGTTTTCACACTATCCAAAGCTGCTCCCAGGAGTCTTCCACTAATTTCTATATTTTCCCAGGAGCTGGGCTTTGCTCTTTCCCTCCATTGTGACTAAGCCTCCACCACTCCACCTCACTACATAGCACCCTCTCATTTGTAGTGATCAGATGTTCTGCCTTGGCTGTTTAGGTTTAGAAGTACTTTCTGCTATCTGATTGCATCTCAACCACTAAACATCACTGCTCATCCATGGAGCCCAACATTCATAGGATCCCTGTGGCGTGTCAAGGGCCATGAATTTCACTTATTCTTCACCACAACCCAGTGAGAGGGGATATATATTATTTTTTATTTTATGTGTGAGTGTTTGCCTGCATGTATATAAGTGTACCCATGTCTTGCAATGCTTCAAAGGCCAGAAGAGGGTGTTGGATCCCCCAGAACTGGAGTTATTGTCATTAGCCACCACGGGGGTGCTGGGAACTTGGGTCCTCTGCAAGAGCAGCTAATGCTCTTAACTGCTGAGCCATCTCTCCAGTTCCTAATTATTTATCTTTTTGAGACAGGGTCTCCTTTTATAGCCCAGGCTAGCCTCAAAATCACTACGCAGACCAGGCTATCTTGAACTCAAGATCCTCCTGTCTATACCACCATACTGGGCTATTATTTTGTATTTTACAGAGAAAGAAAAATGCACAGAGAAGTTAAGTCATACAGCTAATAAGTTATGGAAGTGAGTTCTGAATCCAGATCTGCCTGCTCCCTAGGAAAAGAAAACAGGCTTCCTCTGTAGGAAAGGACTAGAAATGCAAATATTCCCCAGGCTCCCTTCCTGCACCCCTTTCCCTTCTCTCTGACCATCCCCTCTTTGTCTCACTCCCCACCCCCCATACACCTTCCAGGATGTGACCCTGAGCTCCATCTTCTCTCTTGATGTCTTTAGATGGTGTTAACCTAGAACCCAACATCAGGCCCCCATTCTTCATCTCCATATGCTCTGTCTGCTTCCACTTCCCAAGTACTTCCCTGGTCCTCAGCTTCCTAAACCTGGTGAGCAAGGATGGCTTCTCCTGGATTCAGGATGCAGAGCGCTCTTCCAGGATGGAAGGGAGGGAGATCTGGCTCTGCCCCTTCCTAATCTCTGTATGGGAAGGGAGGACCCAGGCACAGTCACTCCTTCCATTATCCAGTGCTCACTAGGTCTGAGTTAAGTCCATAGTTAGCTTGGAAACTGCCTTTTTATGGTGAAAGGGGCAGAGGGCTGTACATGCAAATTCTGTTGCTTTCTAGCTTCTATCCTTCTTGCTGTGCCTAAACTCTTTTGCCTAGAGCCCTGGTCCCACCTCTAAGAATGAAGCCCTTGGGCAGGTGCAGGGGTATGGTCATGGGTGGGAAATTTTGGTCTCACTTCCATTTCAACCCAACATGAGGCCCTCTCCCTCCCTCCATGGGAATGAGGCCAGATGGACAGCTTTAGGCAGACTTCCCGTGCTTGGGTTGTGTGGCAACCACGCTCATACCATTCCTTAATCATGCTGGGAGCAAGAGTGCAGAGCTGGGAACTCCCTAGGATGATTTGCCAAGGAATTTACCTGAACAGCTGGGTTCCCCAGGGGACCTCTCTTCTGGGGTCTGGAGGACTGGGATCCTAGCCTCCTTTCCAGTCTACAGCCACCAGTTTTCACAAGCTGGGGAACAGAGACTCCGGAAAAGAGAGTGGGAGTCAATAGGAGGCTGAAAGGGGCTGCAGCTGCGGATGGGGAAGAAGGGATTCCAGCCCCGTATTCAAGTGCCCAAAGATAAAGTTATTAAATCTGTGACTGATGCTTCCCGGCTTTCCCTGTGCCCTCAGGTGTGACTTTCTCTGATGTGGTGAGCGCCACCGAGCCCTGCAAACCGTGCACGGAGTGCTTGGGCCTGCAGAGCATGTCGGCGCCTTGCGTGGAGGCCGACGATGCGGTGTGCCGCTGCGCCTACGGCTACTACCAGGACGAGGAGACCGGCCGCTGCGAGGCATGCAGTGTGTGCGAAGTAGGCTCGGGGCTCGTGCTCTCCTGCCAGGACAAGCAGAACACTGTTTGCGAGGAGTGCCCCGAGGGCACATACTCGGATGAGGCCAACCACGTGGACCCGTGCCTGCCCTGCACGGTATGCGAGGACACAGAGCGCCAGCTGCGCGAGTGCACACCCCGGGCTGATGCCGAGTGCGAGGGTGAGCACTGTTCCTGGGCAAGGTTAAATGAGGGCATGAGAAAGGGCGCCCTCTAGGGGTAGAATGGGCCCCGTATGGCCTTCATCTCGCAGACACCCTCTCTGAGCCTGTCCCTTCCTGGTAACCCCCAGGGAGGAGGTGATTCCAGATCCCCCATTACCACAAGGCCCTTTTCACTATTTCCTTTTTGGGCTAAGGGTGGGAAAGCCGGTATTATCGTCTTACTGGATGAAGCCATTATAACTGCTATTCTAGTGATTAAAGGGGCAACACACAGCAGCGGGAAGGGGGCCACAGCTGCCAAAACCGGAAGCTGGCCTCATTCTGTCCTGAGGAAGGCTTTCTGAGGGGCTGGAGCCCACAAGAAAGAATAGCCTTCAGCTATGACGCCAGGTGGTGATTTAGGGCCATAGTACCCCAAACCAAATCATCCCTGAGTGACATCAGGATGGTCATTCTTGTCTTTGGACCTAAGTTTCTTTGATGGCCATAGGGTCACCAGGGTTGTTGAGGTGGCTACTCAGTTACCTTGTGGTGTCTGGAGATGGGGTGGAATTATTGTGGCAGTTTTATGAGAAGAGGTTGGCTGCAGGGAATGGCCAAGGTGATGAGGGAAGTGGTTCTATGGAATCGGGAAGGGGAGAGGCAGGCCTGGGGTTGCGAGGTCTTTGATAAGGTAGGATGGGCTTGGAGGTCTCTCAGCTCCTAGGAGCTTGGTGGGCTTGCCTTGATCAGACATAATTCACCTGAAGCAGAAGGATGGATCTCTAGATAAGAGAACAAGGAGGCATCTGGAAGCCTGGTTAGAACCACCTTGGCCACTGGTTGGTAGTGTCCATGTCACAAGAGATGGGGAGGTTGGTGATGTTTTTCCTTTATGTCTACCTGTCTGTGGCTATGCCCATGGAGCTGTTTCCCTGTGAGCTCTAACCTCAGGCTGCCCTCACTCTGAGCCAGCAACAGTGCCCCCTTCAGAAAGTCCCTAGTTTACAGGAAGAGGGATGGTCTTGGCACTAGTCCATGAGGGGAACATCACCCAGCCCCTAGTTCCCTGGGGAGAAGACAGCCCCAGCTTTGGAGATCCCTGTCTGTGATGGAGTCAGCACAGCTTCTGCCTTCAATCAGCCTCTAGTTGGGTGGAAGATACAGATCCCCTGTCCTTAGGGAACCTCCTGACAATCAGCCAGGGGTTCCCCCATACCCAGGCCTGAGCTCACTCAAGTAGCTGGTAAACTGCATTTAGAGTCCAAATTTGTTTGAAGCTTCCTGTTCTGGGGAGTAGATGGGGAGGGATGGGGCATAGGCCCCAGGGTGGCTCTGGTGGAGATTACTCTGGACCAGGAGACAGGCAATTGGCTTCAGGTACTAGGCAGAGCAGGGAGGGAGTTTCAGCAGCTGGGCAGCAGGCAAGTGGGCATTCTGTGGGCAAGTCTGGACCAGCCAATGGGGGCATGTGGTCAGGGGCACCATTAGAGCAAAGGAAGGTTGGGAGAGGGACAGGCACTGTTATCTGGAGAATTCAGTTTCCTCCTAGACACCACTCTACTTTCCCAAACACTTGAAGGAGGAAGGTACCCTTGAGAAGTCTGCTTGTTCCTATCCTGTTTGCCTTTCTGCTCCAGCCTCTGAAGGGTTAAATGGCAGCCCTGAGGCTAAGGGTCCCTCTCAGGAAATGGAATTTGATTCTTGGGTTGGCAGCCCTGTTCCTATCCAATGTAACATACATTCCTGCATATACATTTCAGGTGTCAACATGGTGACTCACCCAGCCTTGGGGCAGGAGGCTCCCCCTTGCCCATTGAAGTTTAGGAGAGGTCACCTGGTCTTTCTTCCTCCTGATAGCTCCCATTCCGGAAATGGCTGTCAGGACTTGCAAGGGCTTAGCTGGTTGGAATGCTAAGGGACAGGGCCACATCTGGATCTTGTCTTCATCCCCATCAGAGGGGCTGGAGGGGGTGAGGGAAGGTATTCTGGGCACTCGGCTGTCTTTGGTCCTTCTCCACAGCTCCCACATCTCTGTTAGGGCCCAACTTACATCCCTCTGGCCCACTCACAGCAAACTCAGGGTCAGGGATGTCAGTCCAAGCCAAATCATAGCTGCAGCCTCAGGGCTCAAACTGTACCCTCCACCTGTTCAGCACCCTAGCAAGTCAAGAGAAGACCCTCTAGGGTTCAATGCCCAGACAGTGCTGTCTCTTCCACTTCCCGCCCCACTCCCTCCAGCCCTACCCAGGACTAAGATGGGGGAGGGGTGGGACTGGGCAGCAGATGGTAGCCTTCTCCCCACTGCCAGCCAGATGGATTCCAGATTCACATCTGGGGGCCTTACCCCTCAGAAGATGCTGAAAATGGGACCTTTGAATCATCTGTCTTGAGCCTGGGAGGCCCAGAGGACCAATGGGCAGCTTCAACTCCAGCCTGGGTGGGCACAATGGAGTCTAGGTGGGGCAGAGCTGTAGAGCAAGGTGCCCTCCCCTTCACCCCACTGGCATGCCCTGTCTGCTTTTCCTCCCTGCCCTGAGTGTGGGAAGTGAGAATGGATGGGACGGACTGCTTTGCCCAGACAAGTACCCCCAGGCCACCATCCAGAGCCCACAACCCCTAGCACTGCTTCTGGCTGGGCGGTAGAATGGAAAATCCCTCCCACTGGTGCCAGGAGGTGCTGGAGCCTCTGCCAGGGAGGTTGGCAATGCCTGGCTGGCATGAGCAGGCCAACATGGGTGGCCAAGCACAGAACTGCTCCTCCTGTGGCAGTGGGCAATACTTGCTTCATAGGCTCTCTCTTCACCAGTCATCTGCTTTCTGCCATCCAGGGTGCAGACTACCTGACCCAGTCTTTTCTGGGTGCCAGAGCCAGGGTGTATGGGAGCTGGGCAGAAGAGGAAACAGATGCTGGCCACTGTCTTAAGAACTGGCTGGAGGGAAGCAGGCCAGTTGTACCCTTCTACCCCCTAGAGCCCAGGGCATCCAAGACAGGAAGTAGGACTGAGTGTCACCGTCAGAGCAGAGCCTCTCTGATCGGACTTGAGTGCCCCACCTTCCATGAGGTAACCATGAGGGCCATGCTTACCAGGCCAGAGAAACTATATTCCTCCAAGCAGTTAGGGCATTGGGCCAGCTTGAGACTTCCCTACAGTTTGTACTTCTTGGTGTGCTTTGCCCATGCTCAGCTCCTGGACATAGAATAGAATTCTGGTTCCACAGCCCAAGCTGAAAAGTTGCTTAGAGACAATCTCTCATCAGAGACTCCATTCTCTGTATGGGAAAGTCAGGGTCCTACACTGATGTGGGTCTCAGGATGGTCAGTCCTTTCTCTTCTCCACCAACCTGACTCACATACAGAATCCCAGGCCCCAACCCTGTGTGTGTAACATCCCAGCGGTTGGGGGCTCAAGTTGAAGCACTGGACTGAGGTAGGTCCTAACTCCTGTGACCCTGTTCCCCAGAGATCCCTGGCCGATGGATCACAAGGTCTCCACCCCCAGAGGGCTCTGACAGCACAGTCCCCAGCACTCAGGAGCCTGAGGCACCTCCAGAGCAAGACATTGTAGCCAGCACAGTGGCAGATATGGTGACCACTGTAATGGGCAGCTCCCAGCCTGTAGTGACCCGAGGCACCACCGACAACCTCATTCCCGTCTATTGCTCCATCTTGGCCGCTGTGGTAGTGGGCCTTGTGGCCTACATTGCCTTCAAGAGGTAAGAGGGGACACAGTGGGGACATTTATTCTGACCTCAACTGGAACACACACAGACATAGCCCCTGCTAATTCAACCCTAAACTCATCCTCACCATCGTGTGCCCAACTCCAGGGCGTGGCAGATCAGGGGAAGATGACAGAAGAAGGTGCCCTTTCTTGTTCTAGCTCCAGCCCCTCCCCACCCCTAGGCAGCTCTCTACTCTTTAACTCCTGCCACCTCTGGCTGCTTATGTCCTTACCCCCTAACCCCCTTCACAATCACTTGGTTGTGCATGTGTCTCTTTTCCTGAGTCACCCTTGGACTCCCATGTCACCCTTGAGTTCTTGCCATAACCACATCAAGGAATTCAAGACATATAAGAACTCCTAGAAGGCATTTTAGACTTTAAATGCATGTCCCATTCTGTTTCGTTTTAATCATCAAAGTAATACGTGCTTTTTTTAAAAAAAAAAAAAAAACCCAAAAAGGATTTTTAAACTTAAAAGTATTTTCCAATTTTTTTTGTTTTTAAAATCAAAATAAAACCGGCTTTTTTTTAAAAAAAAAAAAAAAACCCAAAAAGGATTTTTAAACTTAAAAGTATTTTCCAATTTTTTTTGTTTTTAAAATCAAAATAAAACCGGCTTTTTTTTAAAAAAAAAAAAAAAACCCAAAAAGGATTTTTAAACTTAAAAGTATTTTCCAATTTTTTTTGTTTTTAAAATCAAAATAAAACCGGCTTTTTTTTAAAAAAAAAAAAAAAAGAAAAGAAAATGCAAAGAAAACCTTTTTTGTGTGTGTATGGTGCTGGGGATAGAACCCAGATCCTTGAATATGCTAAGCAAGCTTGTTACCACTCAGCTATAGCCCCAATCCCAAGACCCAATCTTCCTTCTTTTATCTTTTATCCCAATCTTCCTTCTTTTATCTCCTTGAGTCCTACTCATCTAGTGGTAAATCTCTGGAATAGAGCTTTCCCAGTTGTTTACAGTACATTTTTTATATAAAAGCTCATACATGAATTTTTTATTATATGTAAATATGCAGAGTTTTTCTAATGACTTAAAGAGAACACACTGTACATCTTCTACAATGAAATTTTCTCTTAATTATCCGGTGACCTAAGTGTGCCTTGCTCATCAGGGAACCTTGCTCTTGTGAAGGACGGTGATACTGACTGGTGACAGAGTCTTGGACCCTGGGACTTGTGTCTTTTCAACAAGCCATTTATTACAAAATTCAGATGGTTTTTATACATCTGAAAGAACTGGCAGTCATGTGGGATATGGCAGTCACATACAAAGATTTAGGGTACAAAGAAACAGGACATATAGTCTGTTAGCGGGCACCAGAAAGATGCTTAAACTTTTACTCAAGGTTACCAATGCCCATCCTGCAGTCTATTGGCCACAATGTTTTCTTTCTTAGAGTTAAAAGCATGATGAACTTTTTAGCTTTTAGCTCAGGAGTAAACCTTTAACCTGGCCTAATCTCTTAGCTAAGGATAACTGAGTTATTTGTTCAGGACAAGGAGATGAGCTAAGGGTTTTTGACCAAGACACTTTCCCACAGAGCAAAGAGCCTGCACTTGTAACAAGGACACTGTCTCCTGCCAGTCTCGCAGTGTTCTGCAAGACAAGGATTATCAGAGCTACTGTTTTCAGCACCCCTCCCTTTAGCAGAGACTACAGCCTGGACTTAAAGTTTTAGGCTCATCTTACCCTAGGGCCTGGCAGCCTGGTTTCCTACACTTAATCCTCATCAGGAGAGCTTTCTTCAGAACATAGATTATCTGATCATTTACAACCACTCATAATACAGTTGGTCAGTTTTTTGTTGTTGCTTATAACTGCAGAGGAAATCTGTGTGTGTGTGTGTGTGTGTGTGTGTGTGTGTGTGTGTGTGTCTACTCACATGTGGAAATATTTTAGGAGGGTAGATTAGGAAAAGTAGAATTTCTGGGAAGTCATTTATTTATACACCATTCATTCCATGAACCTTTGTTGGACAATTTCAGAGTTATTCCAGTCTCAAAGTTACAGAGTTTTCACGTTGTGTGTTTGTGTGTGTGTGTGTGTGTGTGTGTGTGTGTGGTGTGTGTGTGTGTTGGGGAGTGGGGCAATGAATAAGGAAATGAGCACTTGGCACTTCTCAGTCTTTTGGCTAAGATCATTGAAGAAATAAGCTCCTTGGGTACTGTGGGCACCTGTCATGCCCCAGGCCCCATCCATCAGAGTGCAAATGTCTCAGCCACATTGGCTGGTACAGCCCCTCACCCCAAGACCTGACCTATCCCTGGGCTCCAGGTGGAACAGCTGCAAGCAAAACAAGCAGGGGGCCAATAGCCGCCCGGTGAACCAGACACCCCCACCTGAGGGAGAGAAACTCCACAGTGACAGTGGCATCTCTGTGGACAGCCAGAGCCTCCATGACCAGCAGCCGCACACGCAGACCACCTCAGGCCAAGGTGAGTGGCAAGACAGAACACCAGGGGTACAATTATGATTAGATTCCAGGAGGGACTGGCAGAAGGTAGGAGAGAGGTTGGGTGGGCACTGGGAGGTGAGAAGGGGAAGTGTTTTCTACTGGGATGACTTGGGAAATGGAGGCTTTTACAAGCCAAAGTATCCAGACTCATCAGGCTAATTGTCCCCCCTGGGGGCTAATTATTGCCCAAAGTAGCTGCAATTAGCCTCCTGCCCTGGACTTCTGGGGAACAAGTGTTTAAGTGTATACCCTAATTAGCAACCCATAGGGCCCTAGGACACTTGCTGCAGTTGTCTGGCTGAGTGCTGAGTACTGTGGCCTCCTCTGCCTTGATGATTGTTGGAGGGAGGGGCACTTGTGGGGAGGATGATGGTGCAGGCACTGAGGGTAGGAGAGGGTGAGTCAGCAGCCCCAAGGTCCCTCCCACCCTGGCCCCATCCAGGACCTCATTTTGGCTATCCAGAGGCCTCTAGCCCTAGACTAGGAGGAGAATGCCTTAGCCCTTCTTGGGTCTTAGCCCAGGCCCCCAGGTCCACTGTAGGAAAGGCAGTTCAGGGATAGGGACTGACACCCTCTGCTTCTTTGCAGCCCTCAAAGGTGATGGCAACCTCTATAGTAGCTTGCCCCCAACCAAGCGTGAGGAGGTAGAGAAGCTGCTCAATGGCTCTGCAGGGGACACCTGGCGGCATCTGGCAGGCGAGTTGGGCTACCAGCCTGAGCATATAGACTCCTTCACCCATGAGGCCTGCCCAGTTCATGCCCTGCTGGACAGCTGGTTTGCCCAGGACAGCGCGACACTCGATGCTCTTTTGGCTGCTCTGCGCCGTATCCAGAGAGCTGACATTGTGGAAAGCCTGTGCAGCGAGTCCACAGCCACATCCCCTGTGTGAGCCTACCGATCTGGAGCCCCTGTCCTGCCCCACATTCCAACGACTGATGCTCTAGCCAGCCCCCATGGAGCTGTTCCCTTGGGGTGGCCCAGCAGTCAGAGCTGAGTTCCTCTGTGCAGGGCCTCCAAGCCCAGATCTCCAAACCACAGCCCTGTCGCTGCTCCTGAGGGGCCCCTTGCTTCTGACCACACTCCCTCTCCAATGAGAGACAGGACCTCCCACCCCTGCCCTGCCCTATCACCATCTCAGGCCTTCCCTACCTTTCCCACACCATAGCTGGTGTCATATCTGGGGGTTGACACCAGGGATGGTAGCAGGGGCAAAGGCCCAGAGACTCAGGCGGTACTGAAGAATCAGAGCCATGGACTCTACACTGTGAACTGGGGAACAGGGAGCATCGTGGTAGTCTAGCCTCTCCTCAGGCCCCTCCCTACTCCCCTCTGGCCAAAGATGAAGAGAATCACAGGCCTATCTGAGCTGGAAGCCAATTTGAAACCCAGTCTACAACCCTCTCTTACACACAAGATAGTGAGGCCCAGAGAGAGGCAGAGACTGGCCTAAGCCATCTGGCAACAAGGAGATCAAATGTAGGCTGACACCCTCCTTTCTGAATGTAAACATTAGGGTTGCTTGATGGCAAGGATGGGGTGAATTTCAGGGAAATGTCTGGAAGCCAGGTCTGCCCTATCTTCCATCACTTGCAGGCCCCTGCCCAGCTGCTGTGGAGACGACCTGGTCTATTGGCCCATCCTGATGAAGTTAGGTTTGGGGAATGGGGAGTTGCCTCTGTCTGCCTCTGTCAGGCTTGTCCACATGATATTTGTGAAGTGATGTATCTGTCAGTGCCCTCATTCTTGGCATAGACCTGGAGCCAACACTGGCCCTTAGAATCAACCCTAGGGATCAGGGACTAAAGACTCCTATCCCACCACACACATACATACACACCCCACATGAGGAAACATCTTGCTTTCCTTCCATGTCTTCCTCTTTGGGGGCTGAGACTGGATCCTGCCGCTAGGGTTGCTGCCAAAGAGGTATCAGAGGAAGCTGAGCTTCATGGGGCTGTCTTCCTCGCCCCCGGGCTTGGCAAGCCAAGAACTGCTGAGGCCTGAGATGGCGTCTGTCTTCCAAGGGCCTGTGCGTGGAGGAATGCTCCCACTCCTCCTCTTCCCAAAGCCCTGGATTTGGCTGCACCCAGGAGGCTGAAATGAAGAAAAACAGACAGCAAGAAAGAACTGGACTGTGGCCGGTGGTGGGTCTCTACCAAGTTCTCTACAAAGGACTGATTTCCTGAGCGCCACCAGAAAGGGGCATGAGGTCTCAGTGGCATTTTTTACCCCCTCCCTGGCCTGTTCTGTTTTGCTTGCTATTGGAATGAGTGCGGCTTTCCCTCTATTTAGCATGAAGGTGCCCCAGGCAGGGTATGCACGAACTGACCAGCACCCCTCCCCACCCAGGGTCCTCCAAACCCTGTATAAGCGACCAGGAGCATTGTAAGCAGGTAGCATTTTGTGGATCTCAATCTGCAATGAGGAGAGGAACCCCACCTGCTGGCCCTTCCCTGGGGCATCTGGGGAGCAGGACAGTCTGTGTGTATTTTCCTCCACAGCAGTTGGGGAAAGGGAGGGAGCTGCAAGTATGGTTTAGCATGTGTTTGGTTCTGGGCCCCCTCCTGCCTCCCTTTGGGCCGAGATGAGAACTTTTTTGGCCCTTTAACTGGGGGCTGTGAGTTCCAGACCCCCCCAATCACCCTCCCTGTCACCTCCCCTTGCATCCTGTGTAATCATTTCTTGGGCCCTCCTGAAACCTACACATAAAACATAAGTGATGAACATTAAATAGCAAAGAAAGAAAAGTGGTGCCAAGAGATTTTTCTGGAAGCTTCCATGATTTGAGTTCATTGGGTTTGCATGTGTGGATCAGGGGCCCTCAGTATAATTTCCAACTTGGTACATTCCTGTCTTATTTTTCTCTTAAGTTTTAACAGAAATCCAGCAAGTTTACAAGTGTAGTCATGAAGTTCCTGCAAGTGGGTGGGGGAAGGAGTGGGGGCCCTTTGCCCCCAGATCTCTGAGAGGGAAAGTAAAAACTGCCATGCAGGAAGCTGGCCAGCTGTGAACTTGACCAGATGTCAGAAGTGAAACTGACCACAGGGGAACCAGAGACTTGCTAGGAGGGCCAGGTCATAACCCTACAGCCACCCACATGGCCTGTAGCACACAGACAGACACACACAAGATCACACAGCATCTCCATCCAGATGGCCCAGCAGGAGGCTGACTGGCCTGGCCTGGAGTCAGGCAGGCAGGCCTCTCTCTTGAGGCTCTGTGAGAAGATCCTAACCAGGACTCCTGCCTGCCTGGCTAGTGGCCCTGCCTGATCAGCCCCTGGAGCTACCTGGGCTCTAGGGCTCCTGGCTCCAGAATGTGCCCCTTCTGAGGATTGGTCAGGCAGGTGGTCAGAGCTGCTCAGCCCTAACTGGTCTCTTGTCCAGGTCCTCCAGTAGTAGGGACTTGTGGTCACCCTGGAAGGTAGGAGGAGCTTGTTCTTCCAGGAAGAACAACAAACAAGCCTTCCAGGCTTCCAGGCTCAGGGAGCAGAGCCAGCCGGGCCCAGCCAAGAGTCAGACATGGAAGAGACAGGAGGCTCCTTGTCTCCCACCCCGACTGATGAGGTGGATGGTGAGAAACACATGGCAGGGGGAAGTCAGAAGTGGGAGAAATGAAACTTGTATAGGAGAGGCCCCAGAGTGATGGGAGACAGTCCCTGTCTGATGGAGAAGATGGGCTCAGTCTTGGGACATTCCTAATCTGATGAGAGCTACGTCTGCTACTCAAGGGACCTCCCATTCTGATGAGAGAAATACTATCTTCGCCCTAAAGGTGCCTCTTGTGGGAAAAGCCAGATGCTGTCCAGTGAGAGTAAAGTAAGGAGGGGGGGCACAAATCCTCCCTTCAGCATCTGTAAATTCTTAAGAGAGCTAGAATACACAGCCCTAGCTAGTGCACAAAGTTTAATTGGGTCCTAGTCTAGCGCAGAGGTCAGGGAAGGGACATGGAAGTTGCCTCTTCAGGGTATATGAGGTAGCCAGCCTGGGAAGAGAGAACAGGCCAGGCTTGGGGAAGCTCTGGAGCCTGGAGCCCAGATAGGGAAGGGAGGAAGGTGGGAAGCGAAGTGAGGAGAGGAGGGAAGGAGAGAGGGCCAGACAGGGACCAGGGCTTCTGTGGAGTCTGGTAGAGGGTCTGGACTACATTCTTAGACCCTGAAAGCCAATGGGGATGGTTACCTCCCTGTCTCTTCCCAACAATGGGGAGAAAACCTCTGTCTTCCCGAACCCCTCCTCTTTCTCCCTCTCAAAAGCTAAATTGCTTCATCAGCTTCCTATTCTTACTATGGTCTTGGAGGGCTATGTGAGGCGCCTCCAGAGTACCCCAGACTCACTGCCCTTGCTTCTCCTTACTCTGTGCACCCCCCAAATAAGCGTTTCAGAATTCTTTAAACTTTACTATTTCCTCTAGCCATAGGGCCTCTGCACATGCTGTCCTTCTATCTAGAACACTCTTTCCCAAGTTACTTCAGTCCAGTGCATCCTTAGGGAAGCCTGGTGGAGCTCTGGGCCCCAATCAGATTTCTTCCAGCCCTCTGGTATTTGTTTGTTTGTTTAACAGGGCCTTGTATATCCCAAGCTGGTCTCACACTCAATATATAAACAAGGCTGGCCTTGAACTTCTGATCCCTCAAGCACTGGGATTACAGGCAAGTGTCGCCATGCCCAGCTCCAAGTCAGGTTTCAGCTTCCGGAAACCACATGAGCTTTTTCTTTAGACTAGTTAAGCTTGCTTTGTGATTAGGCACTCATCTGAGTAATTATTTGATTATTATAAATTCCAGGAAATCAGAAATGGGCTCTGGTTTTGTCCAACTTCTAATGCTTAGCGCCTTGCCTGGTACAGAGCTGGCATACTATTCAATAGTACTAAGTAAGTGATTCGTGTGCTCTGATGCAGCTCCATCCATACCCATATGACACAAGTAACACGTGTGTACCTGTAAATTCTTTAGCAGGCACCTTATATAAGTAAAAGAAACAGCTGGGCATACTAACATATTTGACCTAGTAGATATAAAATATCATTTTAAAGTGTAATCGATATCTTTAAATTATCAATGAAATATTTTGGATTTTTTTATGTGTATGCATGCATTGCCTGCATGTAGGTAAGTGCACCTGTGTCGTGCAATGCCTGCGGAGGACAGAAGAGACTATTGGATCCCCTGGAACTGGAGTTACAGACAGTTGTTAGCTGCCATGTGGGTGTTGGGATTCGAACCTGGGTCTTCTGCAAAAACAGCCAGTGTTCTTAACTGCTGAGCCATCTCTCCAGCCCCAATATTTTGTGTTTTTTAATCCCACTACATTGTCACAATTCTATGTATATTTATCCTTTCCCCCAAATATCGGTTTGGATCAGACACATTTCAAATGCCAATGACCACATGTGGCTAGTAGCTACTGCACAGGGCAGCTCAGCTGTACAGACTTGAATTTCCCACAGTAGGGACTCATTCTAAGTCCTCAGAGGTATCAGAGGACAGATGGAACCCCCTCCCTCGGTTTCTTTCTGTGACCTTGGTGTCCTTGGGCCTGGGCCTGCAGTCTTCCCTTCTGACGACCCCCCCCCCCCCCGGCAATGCCATACCACCCTCAAGGCATCCCTCCTTTGAACTCAGACCCTAGAGTCTATCTGTCTTTCATTCTCCAGGCTGGTGGCCGAAGCCCTTAATCGTTTCAGGCCCATCTGCCCCATCCCTTCCCCTCCTTCCCTTCCCTCTGTCAACCAGTAGACAAAGTACGATGAGACTTGGAACATGGGTAAGGCTTCTATATCCAGAAGAGAGGGCCATGGGGGACCCTGAGCCTGTTGTCACTGCTCCAGGGAAAGAAGGGGCTTGTCAGAGCTGGGGTCAACAGAAGACATTTCCCAAGATGCTCTGGGTGAGGGGTCTGCTGACCATATGCTTGGAGGAGGCGGCTCCTCTGATAATGCAAAGCAGATCCATCCCAGCTTTGTGGCAGCTGGTGGGCAGAAGGCCAGGGAACCAGGCTGGGCCTCCAGGCGTCTGGAGAGAAAGGAGCCTAGGTAAGGAGTACTCTTTCTTCAGCCTCCTGTCCCTTATGGTTCCCTGCTCCAACCCTCCCAACACTTCTACCCTCATGCTGACCCTTCCCAGCCACCCCAGCCACCCCTCTGCTGTCCTGCCTGGCCCATGCCAGAGATCCAGCTCTCAGCCCAGCTCCTTCAAAGTGGACAGGCATTCCTAGCACATGCCCTGGGGTGCTGCAGTATACTGCCTCCATGCAGACAGGGGGCAGGGCTCATCAGCCCCCCAACCCCCACCCCACAGTGAGAACTCCCAGGCCCAGGAAGTAGTCCCCATTTCCCAGGATGTTCTACCTAGGCATCCATGACTTCCACCAGCCTTACAACCATCCAGGAGCTGAGGCCCAGGACATTTCCCAAAGGTACCATCATAGAAGAACCCACTGGAACATCCCAGTTTTCTCCTCTCATCCCTCCCAGGGTGTTCCAGTGGTGCTACCTTCCCACCACATCCGGGCACATCCCAGACTTGCTGCTCCTTCCCAGCAACCCTGCTCCCTTCCCCACAATCCCAGCACCAAGTATTTCCAGCAACATTCCCAAAGGGCTCTTGTAGAAGTGAGTTTGGATCTCCTCCCCAGGCTGTGATTGCCCCCTTGGGAAAAATCTAGGAATGCCTCTCCCCGATACCCTATGGCCTAGTGATTTAGAATTTAAGGGTCCTTCTGAGTCACCCAGCAGAAACCTGAAGCCCCCCTTCCTCCCAAAGCCCTTGGTCTGGGGCTCAGCATCCACTCCCAGGGACCTAGCCCTGCCCCTGGCTACAGCTTCCATCAGCAGCCCAGATGGTTCTCATTCTACTCTTAGATGCCAGTGCTGTGCACAGGATGTGCAGGCCAGGGGCACAGGGCAGCCCAGCCTCCATTCATCAGTGCTGGAGCAGAGGGAGGCCATGCCATGACTTCTTGGCACCTGGCCTACTCCATAGAGAGCCTAGAAGCCATCCTGGGAGAGCTCCCCTCTCCTCACCATGCTCACTAGCCAGGAGTCTGTGTTGCAAGAGAAAGCAAATCCAACTCAGAGAGGAAATTCACTGTCCATTATCAGAAGTGAAAAGTCCAGGGTAGGACTGGCTCAACAGGTCCTCAGGTCCTGGTAGCCAGTACCCAGTTTCTCTATCTCCACCTCCTCCTCTCCTTCCTCTAATGGCTTTTTTCCTTGTGCTGGCAAGATGGCTGCATGGCCTCACATTCAGGGTTCTGGGGAAGAAGAGCACCTTGGTCCTAATCATCCTAGCCAGAATCCTCAGGGGTCTTTGGTTCTGATTGGCCCATCCCTGTAACCCACAAAAATAATCACAGATGGGCTAAGGTAAGGGTCAAGTGCTCCATCCCTGTGGCAGGAATGTCATCTCATCTGAAGCAGAGCACTGACCGTGGTAGTGGTAGTGGTCATCCTGGGGTGGGGTGGGGAGTTGAGTAAGAGTACTGAAAGGGAGGGGATAGAGAGATGGCTTAGGGGTTAAGAGCACTTTCTGCTCTCTGAGAGGACCTGGGTTTTGTTCCCAGCACCCACATAGCTAATACGGGCCCTTAACTCCAGTTACAGGGGATCCAATGCCCTCTTCTGGCCTTTGGGGCCACTGCATGTGCATGGTATACTTAGATACATACAAGCAAAACATTCATATATATAAAAATAAATAAAATATTTTTGTTGTTGCTGTTGTTGTTGTTGAGAATA